ATTTTTCAATTAAAAATATATATATTATATAATTTTTAATACGAACAAGATTATTTTCTAATTATTATAGAAATTTAAATATTGGATCGATCAATAAAATTAAATATCCAAATTTGTAATTATTTTTTTGTAAATGTTATCTATATATATATATTTTTTTTTTAAATTAGAAACACACACTTTTATACATGTATTTATATAATATATTGAAAAATTGTTCTTACATTACACTTATCGTCCATATAAAGTCAATAAAAAAAGAAATATGTTCTAGTTGAAAGAACATTATAAGCGGAAGTCTTTTAAAAAGAGAAAAAGAAAAAAAAAAATAACAAGTGGTTGGCATTGTCGCGTATAAGGGACACGATTCATCGACACCCTTATTCGTAGAGTAAGAGAGAGAGAGAGAGAGAGAGAGAGAAGTAGTGAAGAAAAGTAAGAGTAGTAAGAGGTTGACTTTTCTCTTGAGTACGTACTTACTTTACCATTCTAGGGGTTAGTAGTTAGGGTTGCTTTTAAAAAGCACAAGAGAGAACCTTTTGTACCTTCATCAAAGCTTTTTCGCGCGTTCAATTTAATAGCATTTTTTTTTGCTTTTTTTTCTATTTTTCAAAAGTAAAATCGATGTTTCCCTTTTTGACTTTTAACTATTAACACTAAACTTACTGTGACACACTTTGTACTTATTATTATTATCGTGAAAAAATCAAATGATTTAAGTTTAAATCATAAAAATCAAATATATATATATATATATCATAATAATTACTTTTTAATGAGAAATAATTAATACAAACTTTTTCCTACATTTTTTCACTCAGTAATTTGTTTTACAAATTAATTCGACTGCTTTAAATGTTAAATCAAAAAATACTAGGTCATTATGAGTACCTGCATACATATATCTATATAAAAAAACATGTAAACGTAGATGCACACACACACACAGATAGAATTTATTTAAATTTCAACTTAATTCCTAGATTACTTTCGTTTAAGAAAATCACTTTACGGTCAAGTCCAATCACTCACGCGTTCTTACTTTTATTTTCTAACTTAAATACATATACATATATATATTTTTAAAATCGAATAACGATGCTAGTAGTATTTTCTTGGGCAGGTAGGCAGCAAAAGGGTCTTTCATTCGTCGAAAACGAGTTTGAAAGGGAAATAAAAAATACAAAAAAAAATAAAAAAAGAAAAAGGAGAGGAGATGAAATAAAGTTGGGTGTAGAGTGGGGTGTAGTAGGGAGGGGTAGGGAATAAACATTCACACATACATATATATATACACACATGTAAACGTATATACAGGTAGGATAATACAGAGTTGTATGGTACTCACCTGAAACAAATTATAACCTTTATCGTACATCCACATCTCGTCGGCTGGATGTTCCTTCGGACTTTCTCGTTGTCCGGCATTGAGAACTTGAGGAGGCGGACCTCTGGTCAGCTGTATGGCCAGAGACCTTTGTAAAAGTAGTAGGCATCTCGAGGGGCCTGAGGGACCCCCAGGGCCCGTTCCGTCTCCCAGGATCGAGGCCATTTTTTAAGCCCCGGTGCTAACGACACCGATGATCCGGTGCTGGTGGTGGTGGTGGCATCATCATCACCACTAATACTAATATTCTTCCTTATTCTGCTTCTGTGTTAATAAACAAAAAATAAAGAAAGGTAAAAATTAGTATATATATAGGTATATGTAGGTATGGATGGTTGTGTGTATGTATGGTTTTATGTATGGGGGAGACGTGTCGATCAATCATCTTTCAAATTGTCTTCTCTTCCTCTTTTTAAAAAGAGAAATTTTTGCGATTATATGATGGAATTTATTTATGTATTTGTGTATGTATGGTTTTGTGTGTTACGTTTACGTGTGTACGTAGAAAAGTAGATAATATATATATATATATTTTTATACTTGTTTTCGAATGTATTTAAAGAGAAAAAAAAAAGGATGAAGTATATACATACTACTACTATTACTCTTGCGATGTGTTATGCGTTGTTGTTATTTTTCTTTCGAAGTTACTACTCTACGTGTCTTCTAACCATGAAGAGAAAAAGTATTTCATTCTTTTTACTCTCTTTCTCTTTCTCTCTCATGGGGTTGGGTGGGGGGGGGGTTTCTTTTCTTTTCTTCTCTGTCTTTTTCTATCACGAATCACCCGAGACCGAAACTAATTTCGATTTCCCGTTAAATTAGCAAATCGACTTATCTCAGGTAAAAGAGTACGTACTATACTGACTACCGTTTCCAATTTCGTGTAACGGTTTACGTATGTATGTGTGCATTTATATTATGCACGTGTATATATGTATATATGTACCATTCATATATGCAATTAATATTCAATACTTATCTATTTTAATATATATATGATATTTTAACAAATTTGTTAATGATCAAATAAAATAATTACTATTATATATTGATAAATTCATTTTTATTTTTATTTCAAGTTATTTTTTTTTTCTATGAAAGTATATATATATATATAAGATGATATATACCAAGGACGTTTACGAAACATGGTTGTAAGAATAGATAACACGAATAAGAATAAGAATAAGAAGAAAAAGGATACGTTTAAGTGAGTAACACCGAAGTAAATAATATATATATATATATATATGTACCCCATGTATGTTTATTATTATTATTATTATAGAAAAAGAAGAAGAAAATTCTTAGTATGATATATACAGTACATTCGAAGACGCGTAACGAATAAGTACGGCTAAATGTTCTAATCAATATATTCTCGGGTGTATATATATATATATATATGTATATATGTATGTATATATTATAATTATTCATTGATTTTTAATGAATCATTGTGGATGTGGGATTACGATTAAAAGTTAAAGTGTTTGTTTGTTCTATCGTTATTAAGGTTCGCGTATAAGTTTTATGCATACTTTGTTTGTAAGTAAACGCTAAATTTCAATATTATATTTAAATATATTTATGTTTATGTATGTACGTATTTAATTTCTATATGCATTTTTTTTGTTAACAATTAATAATAATAATAATTGTTAATATAACGCTATTATAAATTATATTAGTGTTATTTAATTTTCAAATATATATC